TTTTTTGCCTTTTTGCCTTTTTACACTTATTTTGAGAAGGGGGGACTCTATAACATGTGTGTGGAGGTCAGAGGACAATTTGTGAAAGTCAGTTCTCTCCTTCTACCATATGGGTCCCAGGGATCATTCAGGTCATTAGACTTGGCATTAAGCACCATTACCCATTAAGCCATCTGAATGGCTCAAGAAATTGTTGAAGCTGTAGTGACATCATGATGCTGCCCTGCCCCCATCATTGAGAGAATCAAGGTGCCAACAGTCTAATATGATCACAATGGGTCCCCTTCTGGAGCCTTCCCCCAACCTCAAAAGCCATCATCTGTCAAAACAGACACTGGAATTTCTTAAAAGTCAGTGGTCCCTAATAGTGGAGTATTCTACATGAGCCTCGTTTCCTAGAAGGCTTATTAGTCATGTCAGTCCTTCAACTACTCAAGTCTTCAACGGCTCCAGAACCTACAGACCTACATTCCTAAACCTGGTAGCTACCAGTCAGGCTTTCCTCAAGCCAACTGGAACACCATTTCAAGTCATCATTTTGACCTTCTAGAAAATCCTGCCACATCCACATGAGTTTCCTTTGTTTTAAGATAGGATCTCATGAGGTCCACGTTGTCCTCAAACTTGCTATGCAGATGAGGATGACCTTTGAACTTCTGATCCTCTCCTCTCTACCTCCCAAATGCTAGACTTAATTCTTCATTACTGTTGTTTTGGGTTTAGGTTGTTTTGTTAGTGATGGTGATTTTTGCTTTTTGGGACAGGGTCTTGTCTGGCTTGATCTAGAACTTACTAGGTAGCCCAGCAGTCGAACTTCAAAATACAGCAATCCTCCTGCCTCAGTATCCCAAGTGTTTAGATAGGACTAAGACAACAGAGCTTACCTTGTTTTTTTTTTGTGTGTGCGTTTTGTTTTGTTTTGAGATAGGCTGGTTGCAAACCCCCTATGTAGTCAAAGATGACTTTGTACTCCTGATTCTCCTGCTTCCACCTTCCAAATGCTAGGATTACAGGTATCAGCCACGAAGCTTGGCTTTGTTTTCATTTATTTGTTTATTTTTTGTTTGTTTGGAGATAGGGTCCTGTTATGTAGCTCAGGCTGGCCCAGATTTTCTAATTCTCATGCCTCAACTTCTCAAGTGGGATCATATACGTGTGTACCAATACTTCTGCTGGCATATTTGCTTACATCTGGGCATGGTGGTATATGCCTTTAATCCCAGCTCAGGAGACAGAGGCAGGCAGATTTCTGAGATCAAAGCTAGCCTAGTCTACATAGTGAGTTCCAGGCCAGCTGGGGCTACAGGGAGACCCAGACTCAAAAACACAAAATTAAAAAAAAGAAAAGCTGGGCGTGGTGGCGCACGCCTTTAATCCCAGCACTTGGGAGGCAGAAGCAGGCAGATCTCTGTGAGTTCAAGGACAGCCTGGTCTACATAGTGAGTTCCAGGTCAGCTGGGGCTACAGGGAGACCCTGTCTCAAAAAGACCAAAAAGAAAAAAAAAAAAGAAAGGAAAAAAAGGAGGGTTGGCTGGAAAGTGGACTCAGCAGATAGGAGCACTGGCTGCTCTTGCAGAGGACCTGAGTTTAGTTCCCAGAACCCACATGAGGCTAATAACCTTCCTTAATTCCAGTTCCAGGGGATCCAATGCCTTCTTCTTACCTCCACAGGGCATTGCAGGCACCCATGCACTTATATACCTACAGGCAAAACAGACCCATAAAAATTAAAACAGGGGGGGGGCTGGAGAGATGGCTTAGCAGTTAAGAACACTGGTTGTTCTTGCAGAAGACCGGAGTTCAAATCCCAGCACCCACATGGCAGCTAACAACTGTCCGTAATGTTCCAGGGGATCCGACGGCCTCTTCTGTCCTCCACAAGCGTTGCACGACACAGGTGCACTTACCTACATGCAGGCAATACATTCACACACATAAAATTAAAAAAAAATAATAAAATATTAAAAAAAAAAAATTAAAACAGGGCTGGAGAGATGGCTCAGTGGTTAAGAACACTGGCTGTTCTTGCAGAAGACCTAGGTTCGAATCCCAGCACCCACATGGCAGCTAACAACTGTCCATAACTCCAGTTCCAGAGGGATCCGACAGCCTCTTCTGTCCTCCGCGGACATTGCACGACACAGGTGTGCTTACCTACATGCAGGCAATACACACATACACATAAAATTTTTTAATTAAAAAAAATTAAAACAAAATGTAGTGTGCGTGTGTGTTCTATATCCACTCAGCTTGAAGGGGAACTCCCAGAATACACCTGTCTCTACTTCCAAATGCTGGGTTACAGGCACCATCAACTTTTACATGGCTGCCAGAGTTGTGAATTTAAGTCCTCTTGTTTTCCCAAGTTCTCTTACCCACTGAACCATCTCCCCAACCCCTCATGTTTGCCTTTGTTAGAAACTGTCATAGCCTTTCCCCTGGGGTGACTGTACATTCCCATCAGCTGTACACAAGAAACCATTTCTCCACAGCCTCAGCAGCATTTGGTGGTATCTTTTATTCTGAGAGGCCTGTAGTGGTATCTCTGTGGCTCTAATTCGCATTTCTGTACAAATGAGAATATTTGCTACCAATAACGGTCTGTCTTTCACCCATTTTCAATCTGGACAACTAGGACGCTCTAAGCAGGGATAAGATTTGATGCATGCTTTACAAAGATCACTTCGGCTACTTTGAAAATTTACCAAAGGGGGAGGAGTCCACCAGCACATTTCCGTGAGGGGGTATCTTGGCAGTTCAGAAAAGAAGGGCACTGGGCCTGGGTGTTATCGCTTGAGAATAAAGACGCACATTCTGCCAAAGAATATAGGCAGGAGAATATACAGGACTTCTAAGGAGGTCACAAAGAATCATATTTCCAGGTTCAAGAAGCGTCCTTTACAGAGAAAACCGGTTTGGGGGCAGAACAGAGGCTCTGGAGCTGTTTGAATTGCTTGTCACCGTTCAAAGCGAGAGGTCATACATAATTAGAGCTTGACCCAGACCCAGGCAGAAAGGAAAGATTTACCGCTTGGGGGAGGGGGGATTAGCAGGAAGCCGCATCAAAATGGGGGTGGAGACGGGGAAGTTTCGCACTTCTACCACAGACCTCGCGGTGACCCAATGAAGCGGACCCAGCCCTGGCCCCGGGAGCGCCAGGGCGGAGGTGCAGGGAGGGCCTGGCCGCCATTGGCGGTAACTCAAGCCAGGTGCAAGGAGGGCTTTGCGCCGAGGGGACGAGGCCGGTGTCCGAGGACTGAAGCAGAGCCCGAGGACTCGCACCCCGGCCTCTCCCGAGCTTCCGGGCCGCGCGTCCTCCGGGACGGGGAGTGGACTCCGTGCCTGAGCGGCTCCATCCGCGGCGAGACTTCGCATTCCCCACCCCCACCTCCCGCAGCCGCCTGGGACAAGGCTCCGATCCGGAAACAGCCGAGCGGATCCGGAAACAGCCGAGCGGACCCGGAAGCGAGGAGTGCAGTCACCAGGGAGTGCGGGAATTCGCCGTTTGCGCTGAAGCGATGGCGGCTGCTGCGCCAACAGCCCCAGGCGAGTACCAGCTGCAGCGGCGGCTGGGGGTCGGTGCGTGAGGCCTCAGTGCACGCGGGGCCTGGGGGGCGGGGGCGGGG